CCTTGAGCTGAAGAGCTGAGGGACAGTGCTCAGGCCCAGAGTTCAAGCCCCATGACCGACCAAAAAAAAAAAAAGAAAATGGCTGGTTTGTTTTTTTTTAGTTAATTTTTATTGTAAAGATGATATACAGAGGAGTTACCATTACATAAGTCAGGTATTGAGAACATTTCTTTTATTTTTTGGTCAGTCGTGGGGCCTGAACTCTGGGCCTGGGCACTGCCCCTCAGCTCTTCAGCTGTAGACTAGCGCTCTACCACTTGAGCCTCAGCCCCACTTTGAGGAATAAAACCGAGGGCCTCATGCATGCAAGGCAAGCACTCTACCACTGAGCCACCTTCCCAGCTCCAAATACATTTCTTTTAGACCACTGTCACCTCTTCTTATTTTCTCTGGTTGGCTTAATGTGCCATCTCCTCCAGGTTGGTAATCCTGAAGGATTCACTTTTTAGATCAGATATGTATGCTTCCCAATTTCTTATAAACAGAACTACAGCGATACCAAAAAAGTAAGCTTTTGTTTTGAACAAGTCAGAAAACCATAGCATAGTTGAGCTTTATAATAATAAAACTAAAGTACTTTCAGATGCTAAATAATAAGATCATTAAGATCTTATAGCTGGATACTAGTGGCTTACACCTGTATTCCTAGCTACTCTGGAGGCTGAGATCTGAGGATTGCAGTTCAAACCCAGAGTGGCATGAAAGTTGGTGAGACTCTTATCTTCAATTAATCACCAGAAAACTAGAATTGGCACTGTGACTAAAAGTGTTAGAGTGCTAGCCTTGAGCAAGAGCTTGGAGACAGTCCTCACGCCCTGAGTTCAAGCCCTATGACTGACAAAAAGAAAAAAATGAGTGTAGTTGTGGAGGTGGGAGGGAAAGGATAGTAGAGGAAAAACAAAGGAGGAGGCAACAATGCTTGATAGGAAATGTACTCTGTAACCCCGCTGTACAGTATTTTTACAATAAAAAATGTATTAAAAGAAAAAAAATATCTTATGACCCTAAAAAATTAACATAAGAAAAACATCGAAAGGTATGAATCTATAAACACACACTTACATACTGAGGCTGAAGAAAAAGTAAAGCTGAAGCCAAGAGGCATAAAATAGTAGTCCTGACTTTTGGAGCATAATTCATCTACCAAGTGAGTTGTTGCTGTGGTACTACCAAGTCCAGGATTTAATGCTTAAGGCAGTTAGCTGTCACTTTATGGTGCAGTTAGAAAGTATGTCTCACAAGCCGGGTACCAGTGGCTCACGCCTGTAATCCTAGCTACACAGGAGGCTGAGATCTGAGGATCATGCTTGAAAGCCAGCCTGGGCAGGAAAGTCCATGAAACTCTTATCTCCAATAAACCACCAGAAAACCAGAAGTAGCGCTGTGGCTCAAGTGGTAGAGTGTTAGCCTTGAGCTGAAGAGCTGAGGGACAGTGTCCAGGCCCAGAGTTTAAGCCCCATGACCAAAAAAAAGAAAAGAAAAGAAAAAATAATGTATGTCTCACGCCTATAATCCAAGTTCCTTGGGTGACAAAAAATAGAACAATAGTAGTTTAAAATTGACCTGGGCAAAAGGTCATGAGTTCCCCTATCTCATTCTCTAGAATTCTGGCATGATGATGCACACTTGTCATCCCAATTTATACTGGAAGTATAAATAGGAGGATTACAGTCCAGGAAGGCCCAGGCAAAACCACAAAACCTTATTCGAAAAATAAAGCACAAATGGTTGTGGACATGCTCCAGTAGTTGTGCCCTGGCCTATCCAGCTCAGTGCGGAGTTCAAACCTTTGTAGCATGGGCTGGGGAGGTGGCTCAGTGGTAGAGTGCTTGCCTTGCATACATGAGCCCCTGGGTTCGATTCCTCAGCACCACATAGGCAGAAAAAGGCCAGAAGTGGCACTGTGGCTCAAGTGGTAGGGCGTTAGCCTTGAGCTGAAGAGCTGAGGGACAGCGCCCAGGCCCAGAGTTCAAGCCCCACAACCAGAAAGAAAAAAAAAACCCTTTGTAGCACAAACCGCATCATAAAAAAGAATGTCTCATCGTAAAATATAACCATGCTTAACCTGTGCACAAATAAAGTAACAACAATGTTATGCGTGTCAATCTTGGAGTAGATGTTAAGATTTTGTCCTATGCTAAAAGAAGGCCCTAATTCAGTTATTTTTCTGTTTTTTTTAAATTACCTCTGGGCTAAAATGTCTCTCAATTCAAAAAAGTTGATTTTTTTTCTTCTTTCATGTTTAGCTTTCAGCAGGAAGTTGTGTTGCCTTTTTAACTTTTTATAATTTTTAAGATTAAAAAGTCTTTCCTTTAGCAGATGAATGCATATTCCTGAACTCCAGGCTCAAGTCTAAGGACCGCACTCCCTTTAGATGTTAAGGAGTGTAGTGATTGCAAGTGTTGAAAGCAAGAGTAGAGGTCACCTTGTGAAGCTCAGAGACTAGCCGTGCCTTATCAAGAGTATTATCTCGAGTCAAAGATAAAAATGCTGCAATTTTTAAGCCACCAACCTCCAAGCACATGATTTCTGTAGGGAACTTGAGCTTGCCCTGTGGTCACACTTGCTACTGAACTTGACTGGTCTGTTTTGCCATTGAGCCCTTAAAACAGAATTTCCGAAGTTTTAACGTCAAATCCAAAGAATATTTTTGTATTCATGTCTCTATAGATGTATACATTAGAAGACAAAAATTAAAAGATGTTTGTCAAGAATTTTCATACCTGGCACCAGTGGCTCATCCCTATAATCCTAAGTAGATGGGAGGCAGAAATTGTGAAGAAACTATTTCAAAAGACCCCTTCTCAACTAAACTGGGTTTAGTGGCATGTGTCTTTTTTTTGGGGGGGGGTCCAGTCATGGGGCCTGAACTCTGGGCCTGGGCGCTGTCCCTCAGCTCTTCAGTTCAAGGCTAGTGCTCTACCACTTGAGCCACAGCGCCACTTCTTTTTTTCTTTTTGCTTATGTGGTGCTGAGGAATCGAACCCAGGGCCTCATGCATACAAGGCAAGCGCTCTACCACTGAGCCACCTTCCCAGCCTCTGGCATGTGTCTTTTATCCCAGCTACATGAAAGGAGAATTGAGGCCAACCTGAATATACAACCTGGGCAAAAAGTTTTGTGAGACTGCATCTCAACACAAGAAGCTGGTATAGTGGCACATACCTATTATTCCAATTACCATGAAAGCATAAAACTGAAGCACGGCAATACAAGCATGCACATGGGGAAAGAAACAAGACCCTATTTCAAAAGAGCCTTATAGCTAGCCTCCTATAAGAGTGCCTGCCTAGCAAGTATGAAGCCCTGAGTTCAAACCCCAGTCCTGCCAAAATATGTAATATGTAATAATATGTAATAATAGTAATAAAATGTAATGGTAATAATAATTTTTATAGAATAACAATAAATTGTTATCCTTAGGTAAATAGGACAGTTTTCTCTTTACCCATGAGTTTGTGTTTAAGGCTTAACTCTGCAATTCTCTTTTAAGAATTATGCTACAGAAATAGCTACCCTGCCATCAGGATCCCAGAACCAGCAGAAAAGGCTGTCTTGGGAGAAGTTAGATCATCTGATGAATGAAGAGCCACAGCTACTCTGGCAGGGGAATGAGAGACTGCAGACCGTGGTGCAGAATACCAAAGCAGAGCTCATGCACTCCCGAGAGAAGGTAACTTCAAGGACTGCACGTAGTGGCATGCTTGGAAATAATCAGCTTGAGGTGGAAACCAATGTTTGTTATGATTGAAGTTGGTTCTGAGGTATGGAGTAGAGTACCCTGCCCCAGTAGGCTTATTTCAACTATGTATCATTTATCATTTACTTGCCTATAATTTTATCCTGGTATGTTTATAAAATATTTCTCATTTGATATAAGCAGTTTCATATTAAAATAAATCTGGGTTTTTAATCCTCATATCAAAAACATCGACTCATGGAAATTATGTTAACCATATATTCTCATTCAGTTTGGCTAGCTGCCCAGACCAGCAATTACAAAAATGGCAAAATTAGATCTCCTGGGTTTAGCTAACTCCTTATAAGAGAAAACTTTGGTGCCTCTTTTTAGAGACTCAACATTTCAAACTATGAATAATGTTCTTAAGGTTTTACTTTTACTTTTGAATACTTTACTCTTCTGCATTGTCCCCCATACCTACCTGTGTTAATACCTTTAACAGAGGAGAAGCTCCGTAAATTAGTCAGGGTTTGCTCTAGAATACCTGCTCTGGAAAGAAACTTAGTGATAGCTGCAGGGAACAAGACAGGGGTCCCTGTCAAGTATTTACGAGCAGGCTAATACAGAGTCTGTAAGGCTGTCACCTCCACCACTCCTTAAAGTTTTGTTCCTGACACAGCCAAAGGGTCTGGGACTGCTATGTCTCTTTCTTGGTACTCACATCACACACACACACCCTTGACTCTGGAGACTTAGTAGATCCTGAAGAACCACTTCCCTATCTTGGTTATGGGGGTGTATTTGTAGATGTGAGTAGATTTACCTAGAAAAGATTTTTGTAAATCAGAAAAATAGGATTCAAGAACTGACTGAGCCAAGCACAGTGGCTCAAACAGTAATCCTAGCTACTTGGGAGACAGAAATCAGGGAATCTCTGTTCAAGACCGGCCTACCATAAAATTGTTGAGATTCCATCTCAACCAGTGGCTGGGGAACAATGGTGCACACCTGTCACCTCCAGAGGAATAAGAGAGAAACACAAGCAAGAGGATCCCTTACCGGGCTAGCCTGGGGAATAAAGTGGGGCCTTACCTTAAAAATAACCAAGGCTAAAGGAGGACTAGAGGCATGGCTCAAGTGGTAGACCTCCTGCCTAATGAGGGAGAAGTCCTGATTTCAATCCACAGTACCTAAAAAAGGAAGTACAAAGGGAAGAATAAAAGAATTGACAGACTGGATTGAAGAAGGTTTTATCGTTACAGTTGTTGGATATGGCGATCTCACTCTGTTGCTCAGGCTAATCTTGAACTTCTGAGTTCAAGAGATCTTGCCTCAGTCTCCCTAGTAGTTGGAACTATAGACATAGACTGCTGTACCCAGCTAAAAAGAATGTTTTCTTTTTACATTACATCAGTTATGCAGTGGGGGTTTCATTGTTACATTTCACATGTTTACAGTATATCCCAAGGCCATTCTCTTTGACTTGCCCTTCCCCACTTTCCCAGTTTCAACCGGCTGGCTCCATTGTTCTATTATTGTAGATGCAAACAATCTACTTTGACCATACTTATCTTCTTTCCTCCTTTTTGTTAGCCTGGCCACTACTAAATGCCATCCCAGCCTCTCAAGCCCTACTGATTAACTGCTTTTATGGAGTGTTATCTTTTATGAAAGTGTTATCCTATCATAGAATTCAGGGGCTGAATGCAAGCTTGCTTTATTTGTTGTTTTTCCTTGCAAATGTTTTCCCTTGCATTTTGTTCTTATTAGGTCCATCAACTGGAATCCAGCCTTCTTCCCTCTAAGCACCAAAAACATCAAAACCCATCAGGTACTGTGAAACTTGCAGAGCAAGAAAAGTTGAACTTAAAGAGAGAATGTGAACAGTTTCAGAAAGAACGACCTATTAATAGGAAGGTGAGTTGTTTGGGTTTTTTTTTTTTTAATATGCCCTGTGTATCTGTGTTCTGAATAGTATGTTTCTTCCATGTTTTTGGTTTTTCGTTTTTGTGGTGCATTTACTCTACCTTTTTGAGCAAGAGGGCTTGAGACTTCAGTTCTTTGCCACCTTGGCCTTCCGATGTGACTATTGGTTTCTTCTAGAGCTAGTGATGAGATCTAGACCAAATGCCAAGACCAAAAGACCAAGACAGAAATTGTAGCCTTTCATAACAACCTCAGAATCACCATCATTTCTGCTATCATCTCTCTGCAGATTGACCCTGCTGAAGTGCGGGAGAGCTGGGAGATTGGGTGGATCATATTGGAGGCTGTCCTCACCATGGTCAAAACCTCATTTGCTCTTTGCACTTTGTCTGATAGAGTAACATTTCCAGACGGTCTCATTCTGGATAGTAGTTCTTTTTTCCCTTTTTTCCTAAACTGAAACTCGAAAGTTTTAACTATTACCTTCCTCTTTTCAAAAGTGTGGTTTAAAAATCTGGGGAAAAAGAGCAACATAGTTTTAATAGTTAAAAAAAAACGTGAATTTTATGAATTTGTGAAAATTATAATTATTTGCATTATAAAAAATGGTAGTTCTTTTTTTTGGGTCCGGGCGTGGGGCCTGAACTTTGGGCCTGGGCTCAAGGCTAGTGCTCTACCACTTGAGCCACAGCGCCACTTCTGGCTTTTTTCTTATGTGGTGCTGAGGAATCGAACCCAGGGCCTCAGGCATGCAAGGCAAGCGCTCTACCACTGAGCCAACTTCCCAGCCCAAAATGGTAGTTCTTGAAGCTGAAATGTCACCTAATTTGTTACTTTTGAGTAACTGAGTAGATACAATATTCTCGGAAATATCAGAGTAGATGTCTCATGGTAAGTGTAAGTATTACTTCAAAAACATTTCCATGTGTGTGCTTACAACTAAGTGTGTGTGAACATGCGTGCGTGCGTGCAACCGCACACACACACACACACACACAGAACAGGGTGTGGCATCAAATGTTAAAAACCAGCTGCCCCAAGAATCTGTTCTATTTGAGAAGTGGTGATTAAACCAACATAGATTACTTAAATTCCAGCCAGCACTGCACTGAATCACATTGTTTGCTGGGGTTTTTGTTGTTGTTGTTGCTGAGTTATTTTGACTTTCTTCCAAGAGTCAAGATTTCTGACTAACAGAAGTTTATCAAAATAAAACTGAGCAACTTGGATGTTTTTAAAGGGAATTTTTTTTAACAGGTCAGTCAAATGAATTCTTTTGAAGGAGAATTAGACACAATTCATTTGGAAAATGAAGGCCTAAAAAAGAAACAGGTGAAACTGGATGAGCAGCTAATGGAGGTAAGTTTGAAGTAAATGGCCTTAACTATGAAGAAGATTTTAACGTAAACAAGCCATTTTGGTGAGAGACTAGACATGGCATTGACTTCTTCTTGTGAAAATCTGCACTCTGCCGAGCTCCGGTGTCTCACGCCTGTAATCCTAGCTACTCAGGAGGCTGAGATCTGAGAATCGTGGTTCAAAGCCAGCCCAGGCAGGAGAGACCGTGAGACTCCTATCTCCAATAAACCACCAGAAAGCCGGAAGTGGCGCTGTAGCTCAAGTGGTAGAGCGCTCGCCTTGAGCTGAAGAGCTGAGGGACAGCGCCCAGGCCCAGAGTTCAAGCCCCATGACTGACAAAAAAAAAAAAAAAAGAAAAGAAAATCTGCACTCTGTCAAACTGTATTTTTTAGTCTATAGTACCAAGTTTAACAGACATTTTTGTTTAATTACACAGTCATACTGTTTTGAAGAAATAATGCAAAAGACCTGTACTTGCAAAAAGACAAAATGCAAAGACATGTACCTCAATAACTTCAGGTGGAAGAGTCTCTACCAAGGGGCCCAGACTTCTTTCACCATTATTTCTTATATGAATGTTTCCTGATACCTCCCATGTTGGAATGTTCTATACACATGATCACTAACAACCTCTTCAGTTAGAAAATCTGAGCACATTCATATTTACAAGCTTTCTTTGCAGCACCTGCCATTATAGCTCTGGTTCTATAGCTCAGTGGTAGCATATTTGTCTAGCATGTGAAACTGTGGGTTCATTTCCCAGTGTGGGGTAGAAAAAAAAACTCATTGTTTAATGGTACATTATAACTTAGAACTGTCATTTGAGAGGTACATGTGATAAATTTAAAATTGATTTGGAAAATGTGTCATTTTTATACATTCGGTTCCAGTTTATACCAGTTAGATTTTTTTTACATACAAAATACTATTATAGGATATAAAGTAACTATGTACGTGCCTTTATTAATAAGTAAAAATTTCATTGAGATATTTGCTTGGGGCAGATGAAATATTAATCCAAAATTAATAAATCTGGAATTTACATAAGATAGATATGCATAGAAAATGCCTTTTAAATGTTCTTAAAAATACTACCTATCCAAATATTTTTAAGCTGAAATTATAAGAAGAGAAATGTTTAAATATTCTCTTTTATAAAGCAGTATGCACACCAAGTTAACTTTAGTGCCTAGCTTTAAAATATGAAATATGGGCAAAATTACATTGATATATAAATGACCACCAAAACTCTGGCAATTTATTTTCTCTCCTTTCCTCACTAATTGGGATATTAGTGGAACTATAAATAGTGAAATCCAAACCATTTGTTCAGAAAGCATGTAATAAATGTATTTCAGAACCTTGCAGGCTGCGCCTGGCTGTAGACAGGCTTTTCTGATGAAATAATTATATACCCTAATGAGTAAGCTATCTGAAGCTAAACCCAGGGTGTCTAATAACAAATTGAAAAGCAGCAGCATATACTTAATCAAGCCTTGGATCCTCCCCCAGCTGCTCGGCCATCAAGTTGGCTCATCACCTGCTCTCCGTAGCCTGCGAAGTAGCCGTATCTCCTGCCCCACTTTGTATTAATAGTCTTCATAAGCAATTTCCCCTCATATTCCCCATTTGTACCCAGTATTTGCTAATAGCAAACAGAAAAATAAATGGAATTGAATAACTGAGAGAAAAGTGAATTTCCTATTTAAACACTGAAAAGAACAGTTCATACACTTTTTTTTTTTTTGGAGATATAATCCTGCTAGGTAGCCTAGGCTGGCCTAGAACTCACAATTCTCTTGCCTCTGCCACCTCAATAATTAGATTACAGGTAGTCCTAGAACAAACATTTCATACATTATTCTAATGAAATGTTTATTACAAAATAAGACTGATGAACCAATCATTGGTAGCTCAAACCCATATTCTATCTACTTGGGAGGTTGAGTCTTGGAAGATCAAGGTTCAAAACCAGGCTTAGCAGAAAAATCTTTGAGATCTCCAATTAACCAGAAAAATGCCAGATTGAAAGCATGTTTAAGTGGTAAAGCACCTTCTGAGAGCAAGAAAGCCAAGCAAGCCACATGAGACCCTAAGTTCAAAAAAAGGAGAGAGAAGACTTTGTAGATTTATAGCAATTGGATGTTTCAACAGCTCTCTTGGAATTTAATTCATATACTATACATAGTTCACATATTTAAAGTGGACACTTCCATGGTTTGAGATATATTACATTATTATTTTTAACTGCAGTAAATATATACATAAGATCTGCCACTTAAACATTTTCAAGTTTGCAACTCAGTGGCATTAATTACATTCATTAGCACTCTAAATGTTGAGTGTTACCCATTCTCCCTATGGGCCTTTTAAACTGAATTAGTGTGATGACTATGGGTTAAGTTGCTTCAGGGAATGTGCAGTGGTTTTCATATCATCTTTTGTATTTTTGGTTACTTGAGGGGTGGATATATTCCTTTCTGTACAGGGATTCTCACTTAATGGGGTGAGGGGGCAGTAAACAAGTGGGAACATAATTCTGTAGCAGAATCTTTGACACCAGGAAATTTGAGAAAAGCTTCCTAGGTGATTTTGATCTGATACACATGCTTCCTTAGGGGAAGGAATCTCTCCTTATTGCTATAATTTAAAATGTAATACATATCCTTCTCCAGTATAGCTAAAGACTACACATCTACTGGTCATTTTGAACATGCAAGAAAGTAGTTACAAACTATATCAGCAGTTCTCAAGCCTGCTGTGGATTGCTGTGGGAGCCACCAATTTAGACAGGTGAAATGGTTAAGGGTTTATATTCTGTATCTGCAAGGGATGAAGGGGAGTTAGAGCCAGATCATTCTATCCTGAACCTAGAATCCTCTGATCTCATAATGGACACAGGTAAAGGTGGTAAGCTCACAATCCAATCAATTTACAGGTGGTAAGGATGCAGTTGCACAATTATAGCTTAAAAGACATTTTAATATAAACTTTTACATGCAGAAAATGTTTGTATTGGTTCTACATATGCTCTTATTGTATAGAATGTATTCAAATGGTACTGTTCTTTCTCTTTTTATAATTCATACTTTTCTTCCTCTTTTTATAACTCCTGTAATTTTCTTTTGTTTGTTTTTGTTCTGTCTGTTGCTAACCCTGTACCTAGAACTCAGTGGTTGGAAGTAGCAGAGAAGGGTGCAGTTCTCTGCCTGAGATAGTGTGTGAAGGTAGAACATTCTCTTTCCATGACCTTTCATAGCATGGGGACATCTCACTAAGTTCTTTGTTCATAAGCATTTTTGTTGACCATAATAAGAAATACTTCAGGAAAGAGTCAGTACTCATTTTCATGTTATTTTAATTATGGAATGTCTATTTATAGTTATCTCAGGATTTTCCTTCCTATTTAAAGCCTTGTGTATGAAGAAAATTATCCCACTGATACCTAGTCCTAAGATCATAATTCTCCATATTCTATATTTATGAAAACAAATGAAATGTTTCACATCTACAATTAGAAACATTTCAAAATGGGTTCTGGCCCAGCCTAAGGAAATGGATACTGGCTCTGAAGTCTCATAACATTTATAGTTGAGTTCAAGAGGTCTTTTTTGTTTTCCTTCCCACACACCTGGAGGTGCTTTTTCTTGAGTTTAGAATTTGCTCGTGTTTGTTGCATAGCTTTCCTTTGCCCTGTGTCTGCTGAGTGTATTGATGCAAGGTGGCATGTTCTATTGGCCAAAATGTAGCACACTCTCCTCCTTTTTCTCTCGAATTTGATTAGCATGCTGATGTACTATTTCCTCATTGCCTTGAACAGATAGTTCTCTATCCTATGTACTCAGATACCCATACCCAAATGTTCAAGGATATCCCTTTATGCTCCAGAACTGCCTGTTCTACTGTGCTAGTTAGGGTATAAATTTTTATTTATGGCCCAGCGCCAGTGGCTCACACCTATAAGCCTAGCTACTCAGGAGGCTGAGATCTGAGGATCACGGTTCAAAACCAGCCCGGGCAGGAAAGTCTGTGACACTCTTATTGCCAATAAACGACTAGACAACCGGAAGTGGCGTTGTGGCTCAAGCGGTAGAGCACTCACCTTGAGCTGAAGAGTGCAGGGACAACACCCAAGCCCAGAGTTCAAGCCCCACAACCACCACCACCAACAACAACAACAACAAATATATGTATATACATATACACACACATATATTTATATATATATATGAACTAAGATGGTTTCAATACTTGTAAGTAAAAGATTCTTCAAAATCAATTGCTAACTTGGAAAATTACCTAGTCATTAAGAATCTTTATGAATGTTGAGTACAGTTGCAAAATCTCTTCTCTGATTTCCCTACTCTAATCCCCATTTCCAGCAAATACAAAACAGGTAATTAACTGTTCTACTGTTTTTTAAATAGTACCTCAAGCCCTTATAGTCACAAGAGTGAGGAAGTACATAGCATAAGTCTAACTGTTTTCAGAAAGTCTGCTTATTCATATTATCTCTTCTTCAGAATGGCTTTTCTCATTCATATCTCATTCAGGCTCACATGCTGTCCTGTTATCAGTGGGGATGGGGTCATTAAGGAATTCATAGGCTTTTTGCTCCCTGCTTGACAAACCTTGCAGGGCAGCTCTGTGACTGAACGTGCTGAGCTGAGTAGGCCTTTGCCCTTCCCCTGTAGATGCAGCACCTGAGGTCCACTGTGATGCTTAGCCCCTCGCCTCACTGGGATCTGCAGCTGCTCCAGCAGCAAGCCTGTCTGATGGTGCCCAGGGAGCAGTTTCTGCAGCTTCAACACCAGCTGCTGCAGGCAGAAAGAAGAAATCAGCACCTGCTGGAGGAACTCGACAGCAGGACCTCCGAAACCAACACACCACAGGTATGAAGTGCTCTATTTCCTGAACTGGTAAACTCAGGTCACGGTTAACTTGGTTCGTTTTACCTTTGTTTGAATTTAAACGGGTTCAAAGGTGGGGATAAAGAATCTAAATCTTCTGAGTCCCAGCTTTCCCTGTATGACAGGACTGTGGTGCTGGTGTTGGTTTTGTGGTGTTGTTTTTGAGTTCTTATCTTCTCAACTCAGTGTTCTGGGTCTCCATTGCATACTTGTAGCAAGTGAGGAAGTATCAGTCACTTGAATGTAGTACATAATGCATGTAATATTCTCAATGGAATTCAATCATAGCTTCAGGATGTGCACTAGTAACAAAACATGGGGCCTACCAAGGTCAGTGGAATTTGCAAATAGGGACATCTCACAGATGGAAGACACAGTAGAATGAGTGGCCTATTTTTGGTTGATATAGTTCATTTAACTGAGTTTTTGCATAATTTAGTTTGAAATCGTATTGATTAGCTTATATTAGTTATATGGGGAGTGGATTTCCTTGTTAACTTTCCACACGTTTGCAATGTGTTCAAACCAGTCATATCCCCTCTATCACTCTTCCTGTGCCCCTTCTCCCCTTCCCAGAACAATTGCAGTGGGTTTCACTCTTATTCTCATAGTTGCAAATAATCTCTTCTGACTATATGCAACCTCCTTGATTCTCCTTGTTAGCCCAACTCCCTTCCAACAAAACCTACCTCTACAAGAATCTATTAGGAAATGAAAGATTTCCCATGGCCTTTGAATTAGCATTGTTTCCTGGCTCACTGCCACATATAATCTTGCATTACCTAGGTCTTCAAATAGTTAATTTCTCCTTAATGCATCAGCCATAACCATCATTTTTCATAAGTTTCTTAACTTTTTAGTCTTGCTCATTTAGTTCATAATTAGGAATAAAAAAGTAGAAGTACGCCTGGCACTGGTGGCTCACGCCTGTAATCCTAGCTACTAAGGAGGCTGAGATCTGAGGATCATGCTTCAAAGCCAGACCAGGCAGGAAAGTCCATGAGACTCTGATCTCCAATAAACCACCAGAAAACCATCAGTGACACTGTGGCTCAAGTGGTAGAGTGCTAGCCTTGAGCTGAAGAGCTGAGGGACAGTGTCCAGGCCCAGAGTTCAGGCCCCATGACTAACCCCCCCCCCAAAAAAAATAGAAGTACTTCTTTGTGGAATTCTAAATTTATGCTTTTCTAATTTCAATGCCTTTCTTTCTCCAAGTCCCATCTCTCTCAGTAGTTGATAAGGAATTTGCCGACTCTCCCTCCATTCCCTCACAGCAGTGAAGTCGCAGGCACACTTCCACCAGGCCTGTTGTGTTGTCCTCTCCTACTAGTGCATCTCATGCTTTGCTCTCATGTATAGCTCTTCTGCTGCCTGCTGTTCCTAATAATGAAAGGGTCTTTATGTGCTTTTAAATCTATGCTCTTGGAAACTTTCTACATACCACTTCAACTTCCCGATATAATTTTTTTTAATTTGTACTAAAATCAACAGGATAGAGAATTAGAAGGCAAATGAGTCAACTCTTCCTTAGATGGTTGCAATATGAAACCTTGATACCAGTGGACCTTCTCAGCTAAACAGTTTGACTAAGATTCGACTCATTGCTGGCCCATGCTTACTGTTTTCAAACTATGTTCCTCCCAACCTCTTCACCAATATTTGGGGGGAAAAATGTAAAGTAATCCTTCTACTACAATTACTTCAGGAATATACAAATACTAAGATTCTTGTACCAAAAGAAAAAGAAAATCCTGATAAGAGGGGACTGTCACTAAAAAGTGACTGCAGCCTCTCCCACTACCAGTTGCTGAGTTGATCCTAACTTTCAGAGTACAGAATATTAATTTCATCTGCATGTTGTCTGTTTCTGTGTGTGAAGTGATGTGATTTCTTCTGTCTGTGTGTTGCTTTGCTTGCATACATGTAATGTTAATGTGTGTGCATTATGGATATGTGTATTTAGACTCCCCTAAGAAAATCATAATCTTGACATCAGGGTGAAGTATACCACTTGCCTTCTTTCTCTAGGCCTTGCTACCGGAGCAGCGAGCAGTGCATGCAGATTCCTACAGAAGGATTGGGCACCTCTGAAAACTGGGCTACTATTGATGGCACTTATTACAATGGCAGACTCTCAGACACATAGACACACACACACACACATATGCACACACCACACAGAGACATGGCAGACATGCTGGAATCAAGTGCTCTCTTAAGTTATTCTTCTGTTAAGCCTTTGCAGTATTACGCCTCTTATTTATTGATGTAGAAATGATAGATTTTGTGAATCCAATTCACAAACTTCAGCTTGTTACAACTCATTTTATTTATACCATTTCAAGAGTATGAATTTAAGATTCTTGAAAAGATGTCTCCTATATATTTTCTCATTCCATATGTTGTAATTATTTTTAACAAAAGGTACTACTTTTATATATGGAATATGAAGAAAATCAGGGTTATTTATACTGTTTTGTATAAGATGTATGATACTTTTGACAGGAAAAAAATTTTGATGAAACAATAAAATAAATTTTAAATATATGACTGTCTTTGTTTTTCCTCTTTTTTTCTTTTGCCATACTCCATGTTACTTGAATTATCTCTTATTATGGTTTCGCTTTATTTGGGGGGCAAGTGAAAATCACTTCACTTATATTTGAACTTTAAACAGCCATTATATTTTAAAATAGAGACCTTTTTAAAAGCTAGATGTTTCAGTTGATTGAAATTCTCTTTCTGCATTAGACTATTACAGTTTTTGTCTTTAAAATAGGCATATGTTTTTTAAGATTATTATTATTTAATTCTAAGCAAATGTCGGCATTCAGTCATGTGTGATTGGTCCTCATATGTTTTAACTTATACCTTCTTAAGAATGACTGGACTGTCATCTAGTCATTAACATCTGATCCTGTGTTTAAAGATTGGAAAAACTTTCTGAAATCTCTTATATTATTGTTTCAGTAGATGAAGGAGAAGAGGGCAGGCAGTCACACTGATTTTTCTATAAGTCACTCTGCTTTGTAAACCCATCTTTATTGTATAAGAGGGAAGTGGCACTGTGGCTCCAAGCAGTAGAGCGCTCGCCTTGAGCTGAAATGCTGAGGGACAGCACCCAGGCTCAGAGTTCAAGCCCCACAACCTACCAAAAAAAAAAAAATCTGTTTATTGTATGAGAGGAGCAGAAAAGCCAAGGCTCTCTTCCTACTTTGTGGTTTTCTCTAGGAGTTGTCTGTAGAGAGAAATGTTTTGATGATAAATGCATCCTCCATTCCAGATGTTTGTTTCATATTACAAGTCAAATTGGGAAACAGCTGATTAGAGTAGCTGGCAGGAAAAGACTATTATGAAGAAAACACTTATCACCCTTGCAATAGTCATTTCAAAGGAAAAACAAGCTGATTGGAAACATTAGGCAAGCATGATTAATCACAGAGTTGGCTTTATTGTTGAGAAGCCCTCAGTATTGCAGAGACCTAATTGACAATAGAAGGTACAGGTACTCAATTATGGCGTTTAAGAATTTTGCTTTATGTCAGGGAATGATGGTAACACAGGTAAGATACTTTGTTTTATCTTTGATTCTTTCTCTAATAGGGCTACTTTTCTAAAATGTCCAACCTATGCACTCCCATTTCATCAGAATTCCACCCTTCCTGTTACAAAGGCCAAACGTTGGCTGGCCTTTCCCTAGGCATCTTATGAGGAGAATAAACAAGTAGTGTCTTCAGTGTGGCATGATTTTCAAATGATAATACACTTCTTTTTTCCTTCCCTTCAGGGAAGCCAGGAACAACTTGTAACTGTCATGGAGGAACGAATGATAGAAGTTGAACAGAAATTGAAACTGGTGAAAAGGCTCCTTCAAGAGAAAGTAAATCAGCTCAAAGAACAAGTGAGCCTCCCTCACCACCTCTGTCCCCCCACCTTACATTCCGGTTTTGACTCCAGTTTTACATCCTCTGTCACCATTAACTCCTGTTGTCACTGTCGATGAAGGCAGCTTTTGCCATAGCTTCTACATGAGCTTGAGATTTATCCTCCCTCTCACTTCCCCAAAATAAGGAATTCTAAATGTTACGGGTTTTTTCCAGAGCTCTTTTAAGACCTATGTTTGTTCACAACTTTAAATTTTGCATTTTCTAACAGGACCTCACATAAATTTTAAGAATTCTAATGAGGTTCAGTGGCGCAAATTGAATACTGTATAGTTGGGTTTTGCTTTTTGTTTTTTGTTTTTGCCCAAGACAAGGAACATGCCTACTTTATAAAATAAAATTTATGCCAGGTGCCAGTGGCTCATGCTTAACTACTCAGGAGGCTGAGATATGAGGGTCGTGGTTCAAAGCCAGCCTGGGCAGTAAAGTCCATATGAGACTTATCTTCCATAACCCCCTCTCAAAAACAAACAAAAAAAAGCCAGAAGTGGAGCTGTGGCTCAAGTGGTGGAGCACTAGCCTTGAGCAAAAATGCTCAAGGACAGCTCTTAGGCCCTGAGTTCAAGTCCCAGGACTCATGTGTGTGCACCTGCAAGTACACACACACATGCACACAATTATATTGGTAAAATATCAGGGAGTAACAAATGGCTTTCTTCTTCCAAATAGTGACAACCTCACAAAGTGCCTTATTTCCATGACTAGACTCCAAAGGATATGCTTTGAATGGAATCTGGACCCAAGATTTCAGACCAGTAAGCTATTATATGACCTTTTGTCACCTGCAGGTGGCAGAGATGGCTTCATTGTTTAGAGTTAGCTATACATCCTTTGAAGAGAACACAAGGAGGACAGCCACCTAGGAAAGATACAGCCCATTGGGAAGCAGACTAAGACAAACTGGTAGAAAGGAAGGCAGACATTATTCAATCAGGTCTTCTAAACACATAAAATCTGAGAATAATAATTCCAAGAGAGGTCTGCATGTAGTTGTAGACAGGAGCTTTCTTTTGATGATCTATTTATCTTATAAATTGAGAAGAGAGAAAATCCTGTTAATGAACAGTTGTCCATTCAATCCTTTAAATAATAATTTGTTCAACACATAGTTATTACATAGTAGGCCCTGTTCTGGGCACTTAAGATGCAGCACTAAACAAAACGAAGTCCTTGCCCACATGGAATGTAAAGTCCAACACATTTACAGGGTTCCAAGCATTTGCCAGATGGCAGGTTCAAAACATATGAGTCCATTCTACTCTCTGTAGAAGGGCACAGAAGAGAAGTGACACTTAATACAAGGCAGAGGTTTAGAGAAAGCATCCCAAAGGCCTCTTGACCCAAGAGTTAAGTGAGATTGGGTGAAGAACTGTGGGAAGGGCATTCTGGGCTTGGGGAACATGGTGGAATATAGGCATCTGTAAACACTTGGGCATCACCATTTTATACTGGTTTGGGAGAAGAAAGTAGATAGGAAAGAAGAAGTTAAGAAGGAAGGTTTTTAGCTTGTTATGCCAATAAGTTTGAATTTTATTCTGTATCTGATAAAAAGTCATTGAAGTAATTGTTACAGAAGGAAGGGATGAAGAAGGACAGAAAAGCTGTATTAGAACCTTTCAATAGAATATAGGTTCTAAAATGTTAGGAGGCTGTACTTGCCAATCATCTAGATTATCAATGACCTTGGAAACACTAATATTATACATGTTGCAGTTGCCCTTTATTCCCTTATTAAGATTCCCTGCTCAAGCCAGGTGTGGTGACTCACACTTGTTATCCTAGCTACTCAGAAAGCTGGGGTCTAAGGATCATGGTTCAAAGCCAGTTCAGGCAGGAAAGTCCAGGAGACTCTTACCTCCAATTAACTACCAGAAGCCAGAAGTGGCACTGTGGCTCAAGGTGGTAGAGAAAAGAGCTGAGGGCCCAGGCCCTAAGTTCAAGCCTCATGACTGACCACAAAAAAAAAATTCCTGCTCAAAGCTGACTTTATTTTTTATTTTTATTTTTTTTGGGTCCGGTCGTGGGGTCTGAACTCTGAGCCTGGGCACTGTCCCTCAGCTCTTCAGCTCAAGGCTAGTGCTCTACCACTTGAGCCATAGCACCACTTCCGGCTTTTTTTTCCCTGCTTATGTGGTGCTGAGGAATCGAACCCAGGGCCTCGTGCATGCAAGGCAAGCGCTCTACCACTGAGCCACCTTCCCAGCCCCTCAAAGCTGGTTTTAATATGAGGAGTTATTGGGGTAATATGGGGAAAAAGACTGAAGAGTTTACCTGACAAAAGTATCTCAGGTTTGCTAACAAGTTTTCCCACCCCAAACTAGATTATATTCTAACCATACAGACTAGAATACCTTCTAGACAAGGTCCTATGCAGAAAAGGAGTTGAAGAAAAGTAACTGCCAAATTTGAAAGCACTTTTTTTTTGGGGGGGGGTCCAGTTGTGGGGCCTGAACTCTGGGCCTGGGCGCTGTCCCTCAGCTCTTCAGCTCAAGGCTAGCACTCTACCACTTGAGCCACAGCGCCACTTCCGGCTTTTTTCTTTTTGCTTATGTGGTGCTGAGGAATTGGCATGCAAGGCAAGCACTCTACCACTGAGCCACCTTCCCAGCCCCAAAGCACTTGTTCTTAAGAGCAGTATAATACATTTTATGCCTTATGCATAAAAATTTTTTTTAATTTTTTGCTGGTCGTGGGGCCTAAACTCTGGGCCTGAGCGCTGTCCCTCAGCTCTTCAGCTCAAGGCTAGCACTCTACCAGTTGAGCCATAGCACCACTTCTGGCTTTTTCTGCTTATGTAGTGCTGAGGGCCTCATGCATGCAAGGCAAGCACTCTACCACTGAGCCACCTTCCTAGCCCCTATGCTTAAAATTTTAAGTTAAAAAATCATTTTGATATTTTAAGTGCCTATGGGGGAGTTATACTGAAGTTTGAATCCAGGGTTTTTCACTTGCTAGATGCTCTATCTCTTGAACTGTGTCTTCAGCCCTTCTTATTCTGATTAGTTTTGAGATAGGATCTCACTTTTTATCTGAGTTAGCCTGGGCCATGATCTTCCTATTTATACTTCCCACCACAGCTGGTATGACATGTATATGCCACCGCCTCTCTGTTGAAATGGGGTCTTAAAAACTTTTGGGCCGACCTAGAATCTTAATCCTTCAGGTCATAGCTTCCTATGTGGCTGGGATGACAGGTGTGCACCACTCTGCTCTGCTTTATTAGTAACTTCTGCAAACATAATACAGAGAAACAGCTTGGAAAAAGTCGATTTGCTCCACTTGCGTCCGTGATCTTAAGTCCAATATTAAAGTTGTAAAATAAAAAATATATACATAACTAGTAAAAATGAGATCTGTCTTTATAACCATCCTCTTGTCAGATCTTACAGAAATGGAATCAAGATGTTTCTGGTTGTTTCTAGCTCTGCAAGAACACAAAAGCAGATGCGATGGTGAAGGATTTGTATATTGAAAATGCTCAGTTGTTGAAAGCTCTGGAAATGACTGAACAGCGCCAGAAAACAGCAGAAAAGAGAAATTATCTCCTAGAAGAGAAGATTGCCAGCCTCAGTACTATAGTCAGAAATCTGACACCAGCACCGCTGACTTCTACACCTCCTTTGAGATCATAGCTACACCAAAGCATCTCTTCTGTTTGTGCACTACACTGAAATGGATGGAACATTTCAGTACATTCTCTTAACCCTCTTTCTACAAACCTTTAATGACTTAGTGTGAAACAGAACCAAAAGCTACCAGCAACAGAACTGGAGTCTCCATTCAGAACTAATCTCTCTTAATAGGCTTTTTTGGAAGTTCCAAACAAACATCATATAGTTCACTGACTAAATTATTAATATGCTGAGATTTTTATTTCATAAGCATTGTAATAGCTACCTAGAAGGTAAATATATGCAAACAACTAAAGGAGCTTAAAACTCTGTATTTTTGTTGGTTTTATTTTTAAAAATGCACTGTATACCAATATATGTGTAGAGACAGTATGAGATCTAATTAGACTAGTTAGTATGAACTCTATTTTTATATCAAATTTAGGTGTTAGTCATTTAAATACTGAAAACTCATTCTATATGTAATAGTTTTGGTTCTTTGACTTGATGGATGGATAATAATTCTTTTGATAAGAAGGCTTGTCTCTGTAAACATGGAGATCAGAAATATCCAAGAACTCTACCTTCGAACACCTACACCTACTATTACTCTTTTTGTTGTTGGTGGTGGTGGCCATGGGGCTTGAACTCTGGGCCTAAGCACTGTCCCTGAGCTTTTTTGCTCAAGGCTAACGCTCTACCACTTTGAGCCACAGTTCCACTTCCGGTTTTCAGGGGTTAATTTCCTGCATAGGCTGGCTTTGAACTGCAATCCTCAGTTCTCAGTCTCCTGGACAGTTAGGATTACAGGCATGAGCCACTGGTGCCCAGCACTATTCCTACTTTTGATTATAGATTTAGGACTGATTTACTCAACTCTACAGTCAACTAATGTCAAAGTATTATTTTCTTTAAACAGCCTTTTTACTTCCTCTTAGAAGTTTCATTTGGGATCTTATCACCTAAAAAGATGAATAGAGCCACATTTTTAAAGCCTTTGAACAAGCACAGAACAAGCTACTCTGGAGTAGATGGCCACTCTTGGAGGAGTAGGTTTTCGTAGCTCGGAAGTCTTGACGTTCACAAACTTACCTTTGAGGTTGCCTCAAGAACTCAGGGAACAATCCTATAAACTGTCTTCCTGAACTACTGTCAGGCCTCTCAGATTTGAAATGTATAAATCATATGAGTATTTATTTGTCTTCTATATTTACAGCTGTAGAATTTTTCTATATTTTAATGCATTTATTTGTCAGAAAGGGCCTTGATTTTAAAGTTAACCCTTTAATTTGCAGATGAGTTTTTATGGTTTGTTTAATATAGATCAATTTTTCCATGGCTTCTTGCTCCTCCTTTCTACAGTAAGAAATTCTTATCATCAGATTTGAGATAAGTATTGACACACCATCTTAAGACCAGAATTTATGGAACAGTAAGCCTTTTAGACTGAGTAATACTCCAAGCCCTGTGCCAACCTTATTTAATCTCTGCTTCTAGCCTCTGCTTCTGCTATGTGGAGTACATACAAGGTGAGGGACACTACTAAAGCTCACCATAGTTACCTGATTATTTTCATGCAACAGTAAGAGATTTGGAGGGACCATACCATCTGTTTACAAGAGGTGAAACAAAAACCAAACACCGCTTTATGAACAGATATGCAAGATAAAGCAAACTTCCTAAGAAGTCACATACATCAGAAAGTCATTCTCAACAGAATAATTCCCATCAAGGAACTGCAGACCTCCTCAATACCCATCCCTTCTCAAGGGCCCTGACAAGGCACCACTATTCATGGTGACACACTGGTGACACACACTTGCAAGTTTGGTACTGCTTTTTTTTTTTTTAGTCACAAAGTCCTAATTTCCCCCTGAAGAATTCATTGTGACCCTCTTCTAACTGCTTCAAAATATTTGACATCTGCTCTTATGCCTTTCCTAATCTTTCTGTAGTACAAACTCAGCTACTTGTATGGCACTAGCTTTCACAGAAAACCTCACTTTAAACTAGTTAAGCCTAAACTCTGGTCAAAAATAAGACAGCATATGCAGAACACTTATGAGATACACTTCATGTTACTCAAGGTTTTAATCATTGGAACTAAACATCAAGCGTATTTCTCAAATAGCTGGCTTAATGTATGATCAGATTTGTTGTATCTTATTTTACATAGTATGAAGTGTAGGTTAATTTGTTTCCTATAAATGTGTATTTATGTGTATATAAAGTGATGTACAATGAAATGTAAATAGGCTTTAAGGGGAAGTATTAGGCTGTATTTAGAATGTGTTTTTATCCAAAATCAAAATGCTACTCAAAGGAAAATTTAGCCATGAGAATTTCTTACCCACCCTCAAAAAATAAAAAGAGAAATGTCACACTGGTCCTTAAAGTTATATATTTGTGCAACCATTTATTTTTTAACAGTTAATTTTTGAGAGTCAGTTTAGAGAGTTTACTTAGACTATAGCTTCAAGATTTAAAAAATAATTTTAAAGAGATTAACAGGGCTAGGAAGGTGGCTCAGTGGTAGAGTGCTTGCTTCACATGCATGAGGCCCTGGGTTTGATTCCTCAGCACCACATAAGCAAAAAAAGCTGTAAGTGGCACTGTGGTTCCAGTGGTAGAGCGCTAGCCTTGAGCTGAAGAGCTGAGGAACAGCCCCAGGCCCAGAGTGCAGGCCCCACGACTGGCAAAAAAAAAAAAAAGAGAGAGAGAGATTAACATAAACTTAAAATTTTTGCTTTCAGATTTTTTTAATGGCACTCTTGAATAACATGTTGCCGGTTCTGGTGGCTCACGCTTGTAATCCTAGCTCCTCTGGAGACTGAGATTTAAAGATGGCAATTACAAGCCAGCCCTGGCAAGGAAGTCCATGAGATTCTTGAACTGTAGCTTACGCACTAGCCTTGAGCCAGACCGTTCAGAAGCAGTGTCCAGGCCCTGAGATCAAGCTCTAGGACAGGCACAAAGTAAGAATAAGTTATGTATTTTATAAGCATTCAGTAGCTTTATTAAAAGCACAGTTTTACAAAATTTATTTTTATCCAAGCATAGTTATTTAAGATAGCATGTAAGACTGGATCTTTATTTCAAGGAAAGAGGCTCGTGTTGGCCTTTGGGATAATCTGTTGCATTAAGAGTCAAAGACAACCTGCATAGTAATATCTCCATTGTTTTTGTTTGCTCCCTTCTACTCTGAAGTTCCAGTTTGTGATGGGAGAGAAGTAGAAGGGGAGAGGTAGAAATGACCACAGCATTTTGTTCTATTTATTTTCCCAATACTCTTACTATCTCTAGGCTTGAAAATCGTTTTAAATCTGACTCCTTCCCAGAAGCTTCAGTGCACTGCTTATATTTAACGTGAGTAGGTACCATGACATCATCATCTGCTAAGGAATAGAAAGAGAATGTACAGGGCCTAATATTTCAACAATGCACTAATATCCAAGGCAGGTATTATTTTGATGACCTTTTGTACTTTTAAAAAATAAATGTCTTTATGGTAGACTTTGGTTTTTAACCAAAATGAATTTATGATTTCTCTTTGTATTTTTTTCTGAGCGAAGAGGAAAAAAAAAATACATTGCTGTTGTCAGCACCTTTTGAAGGTATTTCCCAACCAAGGCAAGTCTATATTCTTTGTAATACTGTAGTATTAAGCAAGTCATGTTTTGGGTGGATTACCTGCAATGAATGACTCATTAGGATGATATAATTATATTAGAAATGCCAAAACCAAGTCAAAGCCTAATAACCAAAGGACTCATCTTTAGAATATCCCTTATATCATGTTTGGACCTATTTGAACATCTCAGTGCTGTGAAATAGTTTTGTGAAAATGGATAGCTATTTAATAACAAATCCAAGTTAGCTTTTCTCAATGATAACAAGTTAAATTTATTCTACTGGGGAGACCTTGGCACACAATGACTTTTTTTTTGTAAAGGAAAACCTGAATTAATCTAAAGCTGTCCCTAGATTCTGGTCAAATAGGGATTATAGTGTGTGTGTGTGTGTGTGTGTGTGTGTGTGTGTGTGTCAGTGTGTCAACTTTGTAAATTTTATCTTCACTATTCTATCCTAAAAAGAATGTGAGCTTAATATGTAAATAAATCATTTTGCAAGCATGCCTGTTGTTTTCTGTTTATAGTGCAGTTTCAGTGTATATCTTTGGGCTTTAGAATGAAGGCATAAAAATAGTGCACTTAACACTATAAATGCAGATGTCAGGCCCCACCCCAGATGGATCAAATCAGAACCTTCATTTGAAGAAGATCCTCATTGTAAGGTAAACTAAATAGGTAGGTTGAATTAGGTAGCTGATGAAGAGAACACCACACAATATTCAGGCAGGACGAGAAGTCTTATTTCCCAACTGCTGCCCAGCTGTGCCTGGTGGAGAGCACATGGCTGAAAGGGGTGAGCCACCCATGGGCTAGGATTTATCTAGACCAAGGGCAGGGAGAAGGTGTGGCCAGGTTGGGGATGCAGTATGTGACCTCAGGGCCTGGGACCCTCCCACAGTCAGCTGGGAAGTGTGACCAGGCAGCCCAGGATGTGACTTTGGAGGAGGGGGAGGTGATTGCTTCCAGGTGTGCCAGTTACCTAGGTGACACAGGTACTGGGTATAAACTTAGCCAAGAGGAAGGAGGAATCTGTCCCACCTTCCCAGGGTGGACCTTCCATTCAGGTGCTTGATTCTTGTCAAAACAGTGATGATTTTCACACCAGCCAGCTTGGTGTAGTGGTACATAATTCACCTGCAGAATTCTACGTTAATCTTCCACTAGGTCCTGCTTCAGGTTTGGGGTGCGTCAGATGGGTTCCCCGTTCCCCTTTGCCATCTTTATAGGTGGACAGGTCAGACATTCTTAATTGAGCTGCTCATAGGTGATGAGGCAAGTGCAATGAAAGACAAAAAGAAACATTAAGCTGAAAGAAGACTGTGTTCATCTGATGAACACTCAAATGTAGAATGGAAATGGAAATGACTAAACCAGAGTCAGGAGTCTTGTTGTATTTCTTTTTGAAACTTGGATAGCAACCTCACACCACCTTCATGAGGTGGGAGCTATGATCCCCATTTTACAGATGGGAAAACTGAAGCTTAACAAAGTTGTGACTGACTTATAGGTACACTCCCATTCACGTAGAGGACCCAGGACTCATGGACCAAGTTTGTCTGCATTAATATACTACAAATATTTATCAATCCTACTTCTAACAAAAGTTTAATCATTGTTGATCCAATAGCCAACATATAACTGCACTAGAAGAAAAATGTATAACATTCTTGGGGAAGGGGTATCCAAGATGGCATGCTAGAGATGCCTAACACTCACCTCTACAAATAAGAACAAAATATATAGCTGCATTTGGAGGTGAGTAGTTGTGGGAGAACCATGGAGACATTGGAGTGTTAGAAGATCCAGATCCCGGGACAACAGCATAGAAAGAGAACACACCCCAGCATCTTCTCCGCCCCACCCCCCTCCAGCTCCATAGCCAGGGGAGGGGTCATCTTCCCTCTGCAGGAGCAAGGATGAAAAGAGATTCCCAGCTACTGATCAGGTAATCTTAGTCACTGGAAATCTTCATAATCCTCCCAAGTTTGCAGTCCACATAGATTAAGTAACCTGCCATCTACAC